TCATTGATAATAAGAAATGTTTCTTGAGCAGCAAATCAGCATATTAGAACGATTTCTGAAGATTCATGTGACACTGAAGAGGAGTAATGATGCTGAAAATTCAGCTTTGCATCACAGGAATAAATTACATTTTAAAACATATTCAAATAGAAAACAATTCTTTAAAATTGTAATATTATTTTAAAATATTACTGTTTTTACTGTATTTTGGATCAAATTAAATGGAGCCTGATAAGCTTAAGAGACCTAAAAAGTTAAAAACAATCTTACCGGCCACAAACTTTTGAAAGGTTGTTTATATTAACATTATATTCAATAATAATGAAATAATTAAAACTAATCTTAGCATCTAATAATTAACTACATAAAGCAATATTGCCACTAAACCCATATTTAATGTAGTGTGAGTCACATTCTCTTTTATGCTCTTTTGTTTTGTTCATGGTTTTCAAAAATGTCTCACTTGGTCTCTATAAGGATGTCAGCATTGGCAGGATTCAGCACCGCATTACAGATCAGCTCCTGAGTCACCGGGATGGACTTGTTCATGGACACACACAGATCGGACAGGTAGTCCAAAAACCTAAACATAAACAGCACATGGAAACATGTCAGCCTTCTATCTCTCTTTCTTGACACTTATATACTGTGAGCAACAAAGTTTTGGTATTGCTCTCAAACTTTTGGAAAAGCTCTTTTGTCTTTGCAGTACACTCTCTCCCACCTTGGTTCACGGTTTTTCCTCACAAGGCTGACAAACGTGTCAATTTCTGCCGCCGTGATGTGCTTCTCCAAGAGTTTGCGGTTGTTGTGGAGGAGGGCCGTTATTGTGTCTTCGGCCAACACGTCGTAGCCGATCTGTTTCTGCATGAAGCGGAACTGCTTGGCAATGTATTCCTGGACAAGGGGCACAAAGAGACAAAGTGACTCATTCTGTACTTTCATTCACCAGACCTGCCACCCATTCTCTTATAGAACCAGTTTTGATTAAAAAAAAATAAATAAATAAATAAACACATTTACATGAGGATAAAGGATGAATCCATAAAATTTTTTTAGTGATGGTATAGTCTGTTGGCAATTTATAGGTTCAAACCCCTCAAGGGTTGTCATTAAGCCCTTGATCAAGGCACATGTACTGTTGGCTTTGGATAGAAGTGTCAGCTAAATGACAATTTACAAATTCTAAAAATATTCTGTCAATTAGGTTTATTATCGTTAACTAAAACTAAAATCTAACAAAAACTAACAAAAACATACTTCTGTCATGACAACTCTCAGAGGGATTGGCATGGTAATGTACATGACAATGTTAATGTATTTGGTCTTGGCGGAACAGATCTGCTACGCTGCTGCTGCGGCAGAGCATGTACCGAGACTTGCTACTGCCAATACATCCACAACATGCTGCTGTGAGCATGTAAGAAATACTGCTGCTGCACATATAACATACATGAAATAACCCCCATATAGCATACATGAATCACCTCGTATCTATACAGGTGGAGCTGGGGAAAGTGGAGGGTTTCTGAAGCAAGTTGCAACTGCTACAGCAAGCAACTAGGTCATATATTTGAATGTTGAGCAGCGAGCTCATTGGCTACCGATACAGGAGAGAACCAATCAGCTGTGCCATGTGATAATGATGTCAGTAGGTCAGATTGAGTTAGACCTATCGGACTGCGCCATCTAGAGTTTCATGCCAGAACTCTGTATTTATATAAATAAAAATTATATAAATAAACATTAACTGAAATAAAAAGTTAAAACTTCATCTAACAGCAACATTTCTCATTTTTGTTTAGTTTAAATTGAATAACTAAAACCTAATAAATACTACAGTACATAGACATAACCTTTAAAAAGTCCAAATTAAATCACTAAAAATAAAATTCAAAATATTAACAAAAAGTATAATAGTATATCAATGATACTAAAACTGCTGTCAAGTAATTAAAATATTTAAAATCACAATTTATTTATATCTAAACTCTTTTTAAAGACAGAAAATAAATAAATAAATAAATAAATACATACTAAGTAAACAATTCAATAAAACAAGCATTTTGTGGCTATATTTTCAGCCAGTGGCCTCAGAAGATGTTTGCATCAACATCTCTATGAATGACCGGGTTTATGGCTGGTATGACACTTGAGCTTTGATTCTAATTCAGTTTCACTATATGAAGAATGCAAATGACTTTCGTTAAACATCCCATATGATTTGATTCGAACAGTAAATTTATTATCCATAAAGGCTGTCTTTCTTTTGTGGCTATATTTTCAGCCAGTGGCCTCAGAAGATGTTTGCATCAACATCTCTATGAATGACCGGGTTTATGGCTGGTATGACACTTGAGCTTTGATTCTAATTCAGTTTCACTATATGAAGAATGCAAATGACTTTTGTTAAACATCCCATATGATTTGATTCGAACAGTAAATTTATTATCCATAAAGGCTGTCTTTCTGCATTCAATGAGAAGTTTTTGCTTTGGTAGGGACTTTGTGAGTGCATATGTGTGTGCGTATGTGTGTGTGAGAGAGAGAGAGAGAGAGAGAGCGAGAGAGAGCACGGGCACTTCCGCTGCCAATAAATGAATAAATGAATAAACCATGCAAAAAAATTAAATGCATTAAATATATTTAATTAATCATATTAATTAATACATTATCATCGACGAATATATGATCCAGATTTTTGAAACTTGAAAAAGTTAAAGTTTTGTGTTTAGATGGTATTACATATAGTTTTTAGAATGATTTCAAGAGTTAAAAAATATTCATTAGACATCTGTAATGTTGGAAACCACAGGAAGTCACACTCATGCCTGCAGACACAGATATCATCTTGAAGTTTATGAATATATCTGAGAGAATGAAGTGCAAAATGAAGGCAAGCTGAATTGAATCATATCAGCATGGCTTTAGAGAACACAAACAAACTTTGGGTTCTACATTTTCACAATATAATTTTTTTCAAGAGAAAAAACAATTATGAAATGCTCATTAAATGCTGTATAATATTACTAATTTTATGAGGTCTATGAGGTTGAAGGTTGAACCAGAGATGCTCCGATGTCGGCTTGTGTTCCTGCAGACCAACCTGGTTCTTCCTGTAGTCCTGCTGTGAATGTCGCAGCACACGGTAGCACAGCCTGCAGATGTGCCTGAAGGGTGCGTGTCTCTGGTCACTCAGCTCCTCCAGACGCAACATTGGCCCATCACCGCTGTCTGTGAATGGGGCCTGAAGCAGCTTGAAGATCTGTTGATGGAGAAAGTAAAGAGACTGGAATGAATACTACATCTGGTGTATCTACACTCTTAAATATAAGGGTTCTTTATTGGGATATATGGTTCCATGAAGAATGGTCACCATGCTTGGAAGCTTTCCATTGCACAGAAGGTTCTGTATAGTAGAAAAAGGTTCTTCAGATTATTTAAATATTTTTAACACTAAGAAAAAAATGTTCTTTTAAGAACTGTTCGCTGAAAAGTTCTTTGTAGAACCAAAAATGGTTCTTCTGTGGCATCATTGTGGAAAAACCTCTTTTGGAACCTTCATTTTTAAAACTGTATTCCATCCAGTTATGGTCTATGGAACCAAAAATCATTCTGACCAAAGAAGTTAAGAGGTTTAAGTTAGCAATTACATAACAAAATACTTTTTTAAGGCAAGATGGTTGCAGATGTTCTAAAAAAAATAAAAAAATAAAAAATTTTCTAAACTAAGGATGTGCAAGACTATTCAACATTGGAAATACTAGTCAAAATTTGTAATTTTAATGTTAAAAATATTAAAAATAATACATTATTCTGAAAGGGGATATCTGGAGCTGAAAACAAAATTTCACCTCATGCATGCATGTGTTTTCTTCATGTTACTTGCTGCGTGTGTCGGCTAAGAAAAGGAGCAAGGTGTGAGAGCGTATTTACTGGTTTAAAGGATGAAAGGGAACTGACTTTCTTCAGGTTTGGATGACATTTTTTTCATGTTATCTCAGTATAAATAGTGTTTATTAGCAAAGGTAACCTTGGTAACCGTTGTATTTCTGCTTGTCCAAAAGAGCCACCTGCTGTCCGAGAGTGAATTTGCATTTTTATACAGCCCTGCTGATTTGTTGCCCTCAGTGTGAAAATTTTAACTGTTTGATGGAAAATAAGAACAATTCGGATAATAAGGTATCTAGAATTATTTGACTGTTTGATTCATAATTTAAGTATTTCCAATGGATCGCATATGCAAATAATATTTTTGACTGTCTACTGAGGGTTTCTTACTTTTAGACTAGTCGACTAGTCATTGCACATTTGCCTCTTCTAAATGTTCTTTTTAAAGTGAAGGACGCATATTTTAGGCACTACAAGTGGTGAAGTGTGAGGTATTGAAGAACATCCTACTTGTTTCAAGATATTCTGCTCTCTCATGAGTTTCTGCCGTTCACGGTTGGGTTTATTGACCATGATCTCCAAAACATCCTGCCCACTGTTTGGAATGTCCACCACAAAAAACACAAGGTCCTCGAGAAGCTTAGTGACAAACCTACAGAATGCACCGAGAAAAGAAGGTCATGTTGATTGGAATGTCAGGTTGAACTCTTAACAGGCCCTAATCAGGGACAAAATCCTTGGTGGGAAATGTTCTACATTCATTAAACGAGGTCAAAGCAAAAGCATTTAGTCAGGGGTCACTAAAGGACTGAAGCACTTTCCAAGCACATTCCTACTCCAGATACTCAGAAGAGTCATACCTTCTTTCATTCTGGGTGATTGTGCCCTTCTCCAGCTTGCCAGCGATAGATGCCAACACTTTACTGGCATCATTGGCAAAGTCTAGGTCCCTCACCTCCGCAGGAGGGACTGGCACAACGGCGAAGGCCTCTTTATCTTCTTTGATAGGTGATGTGCCAATCTGAAGGAGAAAACAAACTGCAATTTAGTGCAACACTAATATGAAGATAACAACATAACATGAACAATGTTATGATGAAGATGACATCTATTATAATACATTCTATACCTTTTACATTTTAAATAGACTTTATACAAAATATTTCACCATGGCATTTTAATTATATTTATTTAAAATAATGTTTTAAATAATATTTCTTATTATTTAAAATATATTTTTTTTACACTTTTATAACTTCCTATTTTACACAGACTTTATTTATATATTTTATTAATATCCACCTATTTTTCCCGTAAGAGTGTGCGCAGCCATTTGTAAATTGTATGGGTCTAGCTTCCGCTGTACAAAACAGCTCCTTCTGCTGCTTGATATTGCAAACTTGTGTGTCTTGCCATATTATTTTAATGTATTGTCTTAATTGATGAACACACTGGTTTGTAGTGCAAACAGTTTTACCGTTTACTGCACATTGTTATTCTTCTCGCTATTTCCCTAATGAACCGGAGGTCTCACACATTCTATATATGAATAGTGACGTTGTGCTTAGCACAAATTGCTATGACACATAGGTGCTCATGAGCTTTTCTCATTGTCTCAACAAATGAGACAAAAATATATACTTAGAATGACTTTATTTATTGAGAAAAATGATCCAGTGTTACATATCTGTCATTTGCAAAAGTATGTGAATCTTTGCTTTCAGTATCTGGTGTGGTATTAATTACAGTATATTTAAAATAATATTTATATTTATTAAAATAATAATTTAATAATATAATTTAAACAAATGTATAATTTAAATAATAACAATAATATAAATAATAAATGATTATTATTATTACTATTATTTCAACAGCTGCTAAAACAATAAATCAGATTAAATTGCATGATAAGTGTTTTTGGTGAATTACCCACCCGTAACATAACTGGCTTCTCCTCCTCTTTGTCGATGGGGTT